CCTTCGGAGCCTCGCAGACTGCCGACGCCCCCGCCGCCCTCTCACTCTTATCCGCAACTGCAGGGTGCTACGTAATAGCAAACATCAAACGGATGTTTTTCGCAGTCTGGGCCTCTAGGGACCCTCGCCGGGCCCCAGGGCCGTCAGAAAACGGCACAGGATGGATAACCGGTTCAGGGGGAATGGGTCGAGATTTCGGGGGACCCTGTATTGAACAAATCACGACGTCGGATCTCTGGGGGAGTTTTCACTTGGCAAGGCTTCGGGTTGCGCATAGACACCCCCCCAGGGCGCAGTCCCGGCTGGCCTCAGCGGGCCCCACGAGTAGTTCCTGCTGGCCTCAAGAGGGAACCCGAGCAGTGCAGGGCGGCCTCCGTGCCCCAAGCCTGGGGCTGGGAGCGCCAGCCGGGACTGCCCTGGGAGACTGTCTGTGCGCGGCCCTAAGCCTTACCATTTCCGATGCTGCGACCCATCCCTCGTCGCCACGGCTGGATATTCCTCGAAGCCCTGGTCAGGCTGCGCCCTGGGAGTGGTCCGGGGAGTCGCGGTATCGGTAGTAGCGGTATCGGTACCTTTTCAGCCCCCCCCCTTCCCCCCCCCCATGACGTGTCGGTCGAGCATGGCCGGAGGTGGTGTGAAACATTGAGTGTTGCAGAGTTCTGTGCAGAGCCATTGTTCTTTGATTTCTTCAGGTGCTTGCGAAGTTGTGCCGTGCGAGCGCGAAGTCGATAGATCAGTGTCTGGTCCCCTCGCAATTGCGGATAAGAGTGATGGGGCGTCGGTCTGGAGGCCGCACGGTTCTGTTCTCCAAAGCGAACGGGACACAGCCAGCCGCAGACGCCGATGTGGTTCAGGCCAGGTCGCGTGTGGGTCGCGCCGCGGGTGGGTCGCTGGTGGGGCGTGGGCGGATCTCGGAGCGGGTCTGGGGGCGACGGCGACCGCGACGACGTCGACGACGACGACACTAACTGTTAGTGACTAACAAAAACATATTTTCAGACTGTTCGCTCTTATTTGCTCGCGTGCCATGCAACACGTAAACCCCACACCCTCGATACCCGCCCTCTTCGTCTTCGTTCGTACGCCCCTTGGGGATATATCGTCCCTATCTGCCGCGTGTACTTGGCGCAGCCCCTAAAACAAGGGAAGGGAGGGAAGCAGAGACAAGGGGAGGGAGAAGGGTGGAGCACGAGAGAAAGAGTTGCAGAAGGATGGCTGGGAGAAGGAGTACAAGCTGCAGAACCAGACGGGCGGGTCGGGCGGGCGGACCTTAAAGGGCAGGTCGGGCGGGCGGGCCCTGACGGCCAGGTCGAGCGGGCGGGTCGCTGAAGCGTCAATCCATCATGGAGGAAATTTCGAGCCATAGCGCGACTCTTACGTAAACCGCGTAGAAATTCAAAGCGAGAGCGTGATTCCTGAGTCTTGGGGCCATGGTGCCGCAATCGGATGTTGGGGGGTGATATCGAAGTTGAAAGGAGAGCCTGCCACCGGGACATCGGTTTCGGTTTCGGGTTCGTGTCGTGCGTGCGGGCGAGGTGAAGCTGTGTGGACTGGCGAGAGGAATGACTCGGCTGTGGCAAGGGCGGGTCAAGAGCCGTTGACCGCCCCTCCTCCCTCCCCGGTGGGCGGGCGGTGGCCGGGTTGTCCCGCCGTGGTGTCCCTTCGCTGTACGCCTCTCCCCCGCGGTGGGTGGGCGGTGGCCAGGTTGACCCGGCGTGGTGTGCCGTTTGTGTCCCGTCGGTGTACTGTTGGTGTTCCGTGGCTATCCCGTCGCTGTCCCGTCACTGTCCCGTGGTGAGATCGCTATTGAGATCGATCGTGAGGCCGATCGGGAGATCGATCGTGACATCGAGCGAGTCAGATCGATGGTTAGACCGATGGTGAGATCAATAGTGAGATCGAGAGTGAGATCGATTGGTGCCCCGATGTTGTCCCGATGGTGTCCCGTGGTGCCCCGACGGTGTCCCGTCGGTGTCCCGTCGGTGTCCCGCTGGGGCGCCGATGTCCCGTCGGTGTCCTGTGGTGTTCCGTGGTGAGATTGATGCCGAGATCGATAGTGAGACCGATCGTGAGATCCATAATCAAACCGGCAGATGGTTCTCTCTCTCCCTCACCAACCTCCTTGTCACCCGAAGGGTGGTCGTATAGGTAGACCATGATGAATTACGACGCGAGAGCGCGATTCCTGTATACATTCTGACGAAATCCCGCGCGAGAGCGCGAATTTGAAATACAGAGGCAGGAAGTCTCAGGCGGGAGCCGTTGTTGTTGCAACCAGGGGGCCAGGGGCACAGTCTGAGGACCAAGACTTTCCCCTGTAAAAGCAAGGTGCAAGCCCCGGGAGGAGCACTTTAATTGAGAAGCGACAGGTGTACAGGAGGGGGGATCAACAATAACTGTTCTGTGGAGATGGAAACTCTGCAAACATGATAGGTTTAAGACTGTTCGCTCTCAGTTGTTCGTGTGTCAATCAACACGTATCTTCTTAACCCTCGATGCCCGCCCTCTTGGTATTCGATTGTACCCCCCTTGGGGGTACACTCCCCTCACCTTCCACGTCAATGTAGCGCAGCCTTAAAACAAGACGAGGAGGGAGACAGGAAACAAGAGAGAGCGAGGAGGAAAGGAGTGCGGGCAGGAAGGGAGGAAGGAAGGGGCAAGGGGGAGGGAGAAGGATGGAAATCGAGAAAGATTAGCAGGAGGGGGGATAGAGCGGGAAATACATCGTCGAAACCCGACGGGCGGGTCGGTCCAGCGGATCCTAACGGGCAGGACGGACGGGCAGAACCAGACGGGCGAGTCGGGCGGGCGGGTCGATTGAGCGTCAGTCCTGCATGGATCGTGAGGATGACTCGAGCGTCAGCGCGACTCTTATGCACACCGTATGGAAGTCGAGAGCCAGAGCGTGACTCTTGAGTGTCGAGGCGCGGCGTTTCAATGAATCGCGATGGAGTGCCCTGCGAGAGCGCGCTTCTTAGACACATTGTGCGGAAGGCCCGCACGAGAGCGCGTTATGGAATTGCTTGTGAGGAGTACCAAACAAGAGCCGTTGTTGTTGTACTTCGGGGACCAGGGGGACCATCTGATCCTGAAGATGTTTCCTAAGAGTTGCGCCGGAGCGGGGATCAACAATACAGATTCTTAGACATGAGAATTCAGCAATGGTAACCGTTCGCACCGCGGAAGCACACTTCAGCCACACTCCAAAGGACAGTAGAAGACCGCTCGGTCCCCTCAATATGATTTGCTTGCGTAGCTAATCGATTGGAGAAGTGTGATGCTAATGCATCAATGTCGATGTTGCAGCATTAACGGTTCAGACATCCTGGGCATCGACGTGCGGCTTTGTGGCCAACCTATCAGGTCCAGCACGCATAATTGAGCATCCGCATAGGATAATATTTTCAGACACGTGTTTCAACTCCCACGTAAAAAAATATAATCTGAAAATACACCCCCATCGCGGCTGACTCATGTTTACTTATTTGAGGTTCGTTCGTTAATCTCATGTTGATCCTTTCTTAACCTCAGAGGGTCTTTTATGCCAGCCGACCCTCTCCTAAGCTCTCTGCTGACAATTCAACTCGTCGTTCCCCTCATCGTCCTTCCCCTCATCAGCATCACTACCACCACCACCACCATCGTTAACATCATCATCCCCATCGGGGATCCTCATCGCTCCCGATCATCAGCGATGGCCGGCCGCCGCCGGGGAATTACTTATTTTCCCAACGTTGTTGGAGGTTCAAATCCATCAATCACCCGCACAAGCCAAATTTATTTTTCCACTATTGGGGGGGAGGTTTGCCCATCTGAGGTTGACTGGCGTATCCCAGCGCCAAGTAGCTTTCCGACCCCCTTGTGGATGCGAGTACGATTTCATTTGGGTGGGTCCGTCGGCTGGTTGTCGGACGGGCACGATCGCTTCGGCGGCACAGTTTTGCAGTCGAGCTGAGCGTCTGGCTGGCGGCGTCAGTTGGAAGTGTTGTCAGGCGGGAGTTGTGTGGTTTGTTGTTGCCGGGGGGCTTGCAGCAAGCAGGTGGGTGGGTGACTGGGCCATGGGCGGATGGATTCTGAACGACCAGGAGAGCGGGGACACGTGGTGGCGCGGATGGGCATTCGATTGAACCCCACATGGGGCACTTCGGCGATTCCCCTCTGTCCTGCCTGGTTCATCGCCCCCGCCCCCGTGGGCGCCACCCGACCGGTCTAGACCCTGCGTGGGCCTCCTGCTCGCTAAGAGGCCCGCACCGCTGCGATTCCCGGAAGAACAGGCGAGTCAGACCGAGCCCCTGCTCCCCTCTGGTTCCCCATCCGTCTTCTACCTGCCTCCTCGCTGCCGTGGTCGCCCACTTGGCCTGCTATGCCACTGTACGGATTACATAAATGAGGCGTTCCAGAAAGAGCCTCGCCTTCGAGGATCGAAGGAGCTGCCATCTCTTCCTCAGCGGAAGGCGGCGGAAGGGCGGCGGAAGGTCGGCGGAAGTAAAACGAGGCCGCTTCCGCCGGCAGAAACTGGCGGAAGGTTGACGGAAGGCGGCGGAAGTAAACGATGCGCCCCGAAGAAATGGAGACGTGTTTGGATTCAGGGTTTCCGGAATCCGACAAATTCCCGAATTGGTCATGGGGGAGTTGCGGACACATCGCTGAGGTCTCGCTTTCCTGTCCGCGCCATCCTCCGCTCTGCTTCGCCCTCCTGTGTCACACACATCGCTTCGAGAGGCCGCTGCAGGGAAATCAGGCTTGCCTCACGCTGGCGCTGTCGTTGGGAAAGCGTTTGACCGAGCCCCAGAGCGTCTCGGCTCGGGGCCCATGCGTCGTCCCAGTGTGTTGCCAGCGGGCGAAGCCCGAGGCACCACTGTGCCGACAGATGGCACGTGGAGGACTCGTCGTCGTGAGCAGGAATTTCACAAAGGCGTTCGCGCGACAATCGAGCCAGGCGCCGACGGCGACATGAGTGCAATCCAGCTGTGTCCCCCGCCAGCGCGCGCTTAGCTGAGGCCAGACCTCTCAAAGTACAGGGCTCGGGATGCTTTCTTCAAGCCCGCGAACGACAACCAGTCCAACGCAGCGACGTTCGATGCGATGGAGGCCCCGCGGTCTGGCGGGGGCCATGCGCGTGTCGCTGGGCGTTTCGCGCTGCGCCTTCTGACGGGACGAGGTGTTCCTCCTGGTCGGTTTTTTTCTTCTCTTTAGCCCTCCTCCTCCTCCTCCTACTCTTCAGTCATCGTGCTACCTGAAGGACCTTGCAAGAACGAGGGGGCCTTGGCCTTTGTGGCCACGGCGAGCTTTGGCTTCGAATAGGTTCCTCGACCTAGATCTCAGGAGCGCACCGAAAACCAGAGCCTTATACTGAGCGCGATGTGGTCTTTACTTCGGCGTCTAGACTCTGTGTCACCCTCAGGGGCGGTAATCGCGCTTCGCGGTCTAGGCCACACGGTGATTCTTCTCCAGATCAGCTGTGAGAGGGCGCGAGGACAGACGCGCTCTGTCTCCACGCGCCGCGGAGTGCGAGGTGGAGTGGCCCACCCTGTCCTCCTCATCCCCTTCCCCATGACGATGCGCTTCATGCATGGCTTCGGGGGGCACCAACTATGTACATGCACCGATCCTGGCCA